ACTACTTTTCCTCCTGCAGCTACCTTTCCCAGCTTCCTTTGCAGTCAGCTTGGAGCCTTATGATTGAGTTGTGGGCAGAAGTGACATACGTTTTGGTCTGGACAGGGAATCCTTTATATAATCCTTTATGATCATTAATTTTTCAAAGGTGACCTTGGAGGCCAGGTGACAGGTATAGAAGGTGACAGCCCTCTCAGAAATAGACTGGGTTCTTTGAAAGGAACAGGCTGTGTGCAGCTCACCTACCACCTATAAATAATCCCTGACCCCAACAGTATTGGTGTGTAATGTGAATGAAAAGTAAAGGTTCGTGGTGGCCCTAAGGTTTGAAAGTTATTTTTATAGCAGTTTGTCTAGACTGAGAACCTCTCCTCTGCACTCTTAGGCTACCTGCCGGCCCAAAAGAAGCATTGGTTGCTTTAAGAAAAGGAGGGAAGGTATTCTAGGCTGAGAGAATCATAGGCGAGGGAGAAAGCTTGGAAATTTCCAGCCACAGTAAGCAGTTGGGTCTAGTAGCCAGGGTGCAGTGGGAGTAAAGGGCAGGATTTATGGAGGAGACTGGAGAGGAAAGTCAAGGCGAAAACATGGAAAGTTTTGTGACACAAGGCACAGGGTAAGAGCAGTGTGGACCTGGGAGACGAGGAGGAGAAGGGTGGTGGTCAGAAGCTAACTCTGCTCTGGTAATTGGTTTCATAATAGAAACAGTTTTGTATGATAGAGATAGTTTTTAATAATGGACATGGCCAGTGGATTTTTATAGTCACAGTCTTCAAAAGTATGTAATTGTGACCCCTTCTATCCATGCTAATGTGGATATGGACATTGGCAGAGCATGAGAAAAGTGCTTAGCAGAAGACCCAAAATCGGAAAAATGCTGATCATTGCCTTTAACCATTCATTGGAAGGGACAGCAGAAGTTCTACTTGAGTGTCCCCAGAGGTGGAGTTAAGACAAATGGGCAGAAGAGTAGGCTGACAGATTTAGGCTCAGCCTGAGGAGGAACTCTGCTAATAATTGCCTACTTGGTCTATCTTGGAGAAGGCAGCGACAAGTCCTGTGACCAGGAAGAGTTCAGGTGACTTGGTTTCACGGTCACAGAGGTTCTTCCGTGATTGGACAAGACAGGGAATTGGGGTAATGCGGAGCCTCTGCTTGTAAGTCTCACATTCTGTGCTTGTCCAAAACTTAAAACCGTTTGAAGGTTGATGCTGACTTTGGATTTTAGTGTGAGGAAAATCTATCATTTAAAGATGAAAAACATCTGAGAAAAGAAAATTATGTTTTCCCAAATGTCTTTCCCCAGGGTTAGCTGTTTGGTACTCAATGCCTTCTACCTGGGACTGATGAATATGCATTTAGTCTGATTAACCTGGCTGAGTGGCCTTGCAGTGACATCACTGACAGGTATCTCAGGAAGTGTCAAATCTCAAGAACCAGGCAGCGGGTGGGTGAAAAGGCAGATAGTATCTTCCTCTGAGATACAAGGAAAGAATCTTTCCCCTAACTCCCTTATTTATCAAAGCCAGAAATCTCAGTTGCTGCTCCAAAACTGTCAGAATTTCTCATCCGCCGCCTACAAACTGATGGATGGGGACTGGTCTTGCTCACTAAATGTGCATTGTAGCAAGACACAACTTTATTTAAAATACCATTAAGATGCAAACACATTATAGCTCCTCTGAAGGCCTTTTCTTACAACATGAATTATTCAAATAGCTTCTTAATAACCGCATTGATTTCCACAGTTAAAAGCAGATCCGATTATGGAATCTGCTCAATACCACTTAAATGTTTACAGATGTTAGAGTTGACAAAGACCTTTTAGACACTGATAATTCGTTTCACAAGAACAGAATGCCAGGTATTTGGCATCACCAGTATACTTTGTGATTATTTTTAATAAATGGGACCACTCTAACAGCCAGTATTTAAATCTTCATTCTTATTCCATTTTAGTCCCAGAGCCATTGCTTGAAAATCTAGTTATGCTAAAAATATGACCAGAAACTTTTACATATATATTGATCAGAAGCTTTTACGTTTCTTTTGCAAAGATCAATGCAGTAAACACATCTTAACCCACATACATTGGTATGTATATTGAGAATATCTCTGAATATTTATAATGATAAAATCCAATAAGGTTTCAGTTTCTCAGTTGCTTTACGTACTGCATGAGGGAGTGTATGGGGCAAGTTTGCTAGTATAAGGAGAACTTGGGGTGGAACAAAGATTCATTCTTGCTTTTTTTCCCGATTCTGAAGGTTCCTGGGGAGAGTGATCTCCACGTTGTGTTTGACTCAAGCTGCCCTAACACAATGTCATAGATTGGGTGGCTTAAGAAACAGAAGTTTATTTCTTCTGAGTTTCAGGGCTGAAAGTTCATGATCAGGGTTATAAGTAGGGTTCGGTGAGGCCTGTATTCCTGGCTTGCAGCTGGTGCCTGCTTGCCCTGTGTCTGTAGGGGGAGAGAGAAGGAGACAAGGAGTTCTTCCTCTCCCATCCTCCTCTTAAAAGACCACAGATTCTGCAAGAGTAAGATACTACTCCTATAACCTCATTTGGCTTTCGCTAGTCTTTATAACCTTATTTCCAAATACAGCCACATTGGAGATGAGGGCTTAAGAATATGAATTTTGGGAGTCACAGTACAGTCCCCAGCTTGAAGGCAGGGCTCTGGAGTCAGACTGTCTGAGTTGGAATGCAACCTGGGTCAAGTTATTTACTCTCTCTGTTTCTCAGTTTTCTATATACTGGGAATAAAGATAGTATTTGTTTGTAACATTTTCATGTTAAATAGATGAGTTAAGACGTGAACTAGCATTTATAATGGTATATGGCATTTATTAAGTGCTCAATAAATGTTAGGTATCATTAAATATGTGATTTTTGTGATTATGATTTCCAGATACTTCATGTTTCCTATCAAATGAGTATTTGCATCAGTGATTCAAAGTATGTCTTGAAATTTCCCCTTGAATCATGGCAGATGGTTAAGTTTAAAGGAAGAGAATATATTTTATTTTATAACATTTTAATAAAGAATTTGTTCCCAGCAGTGCTGATCTGGTCATCCCTCTCTGACACTGGAGAATCGTTGTTCTCCAGAAATTCTCAAGACCTCCTCTGTCCTGAGGACCACACTGCACATTCTGCAAAAATAATCAGGACACACTTTCTGAGTGCTAAAAAATATACTGAATTCTCTACTTTTCCTATCTTTCCACTTATCTCTTATACACACATATACACACCACACACAAATTTCATACTTATACAAGTAAACATAGAACAATGGGAGTGAACCTTATTACTCTAGAAATCCAAGTATTTCATACAGAATAAGAAATTCATCAATCTTTGGACTACTATAGGAAAGATGGCATTATGGATATTTTCCTTTTAGTGTCTTGGAAAGCTCAGTAGGGAACACTTGACAGCTTATCAGAAGCCCTGCATATAAGGGACAGTGGCCTAGTTTGTTGGCCAATTTTCAGTTTGTTTTGTTGAATTAGATACAGAATAGAATTGGAAATGAATTGAAATGGTGGAGGAAGCATACGAAACTGATTCTCAAATAGTAAATTATTTTTCCTGTTTTGCACCACACACTGTCAGCTAGCCTTAAATTCTTCTGGAATCCTCTAAGACTGGAGGAGTAGCTGTGTTCTTTTTTCAGCTTAAATCAAATTCACTTCTATTTTGCTGGCAAGAATTTTTTTTAGAGAAAATGAAGAAAGGACTGCCCACGTGTTCTATCAGCACCTACCCTAAGCAGGCAGCTGTCCTCTCCTGCCTTCTGAATCCACACTGCCTGAGCTGAGCCCCAGGTTGCCTCTCTATACCACTTTGGGTACATGAACCAATCATGGATATTTTATACTTATAAACATTTCATTCTAAGTAGTTGTACTTGTGAGTCAAATTATGAAACTTTTACTAAAATTAGCAAACTGAAAATCTTTTTATATCTGAGTTCTTCTTTAAAAAAAAATCAAAGTGAAGTATTTATGTACATTCAAGTCTCTAGCTCTGTAGAAGGCACCGTTAAGGCCTCTTCTTATAATGCATCTCAGCATCAGGATGGCTGGCCTATGAGAATATTGAATGCAATAGAATTTAAAATCACATGGTATGAGCATGAGCAACTTGCATGCAAACTGTGAAGTGTACCTTCTTGAGGCTGCTGTTCCCTCAATGTGGACAAATACATTAAGAAACAGTCTTGCTGGGTAATGTGGCATTGGAATCTCAGCACCTGGGAGACTGAGTTAGGAGGAATACAAGTTGAAGACCAGCCTGGGCTGCCTAGTAAGACCCTGTCTCAAAAGGAAATAAAAGCAACCAAATAAAAGACTTGAACAAGCCTTGCACAAAAGAAGATATATGAATGGCCAGAGAGCTAAGAAAACCAAATATTTAATGTCAGTAGACACTTGAAGTTCTCAATCACTCAGTCATTATGGAAGTGTGAAATGTTCTAATCATTGTAGAAGTGTTCAGTAGTTTTTTTACAAACTACTGAAATTATAGCATACATTCAAAAAATAGATGTACAGTTCACTGAAATGTTTATTACACCTATTTTCAAAGCCCCAACTAGAAATGATCTGATGTGAACGTTCTTTAACTGGAGAATGGGTTAGTACTCAACAATAAAAAGGAACAATGTACTTACTGGAGCAATAATAATTTTGATGAATCTCAAAGACATCCTGAGTGAAATAAGTTATTCACATACATACACAGAAAACCCCAATTGTATAATGTCATTTAGATGAAATCAGATGCAGGCAAAATAGTGGAGAAGAGAGGGAGTTGGCAAACTGAGAATGAAGGAACACCTTATGGGTAGAAATGCTCTATGCCTCATGGATGGTGTCTACACAACAGTACAAAACTGAATATTTAACATCGATGTTTTATTCTATGTTGATTATGTTTCAGTATTTTTAAAAAATCCTTAAAGAACCCCTCTTCCCCCACTGAAACAATTGCAGACTGGTGAAGAATTCAAGAAGGGAAGCTAGAGAATCTAAGAAAACATTCTACTAAGACTTGGTGGAAGAAGGAGCTGGCTGCCTGTAATACCAGGAGAACAACTCAAAAGGCTCTTAGGGGACCTAGAGTCAACAACCTATGAGGAAATGGACATTACAGCTTCAGTGCCAAGAGCTCTAGGGACACCACTGAGAGGCCATTTTAGAGTGAACAGCTTATGGTGAGTGGGAGAGGGATGGGGACTGGAGCATCTAGCAGTAACGATGGTGACTTTCCTGCTTCACCTGGAGGGAGAAGGTAGTATACAGAGCCTTCCTGGGATGCTTCTGGTGTTCATCTGCCTGGGGGTTGACTTCTTGAAGATCAGTTAACATATATAATTGACAGTGGAGCTGAGGTGGAAGCCTCCAGAAGTTGGGCATCAGATTACTTTAGATATCAGGATTGCTCCTTAGACCATTTTCTTTTCTTAATATTTTATTTTTATTATTTTAATTTTATATGTATTACTGTTTTGCCTGTGTGCATGTAAGTGCACCTGTGTCATGCTGTGCCTGCAGAGGTCAGAAGAGGGTGTTGGATTTCCCTGGAACTGGAGTTACAGACAGTTGTTAGTTGCCATGTGGGTGTTGGGAATTGAACCTGGGTCTTCTGCAAGAGCAGCCAGTGCTTTTAACTGCTGAGATGTCTCTCCATTCCTTTGAGCCACTTTCTTGAGGCTGGGGATGTTGTATCTTGCCTCTTTCAGAAGGTGGAATGGCTAGATGAAGGCTTCTGGACAGAGGAGAATCCTTTATTTTCATAGTTCCCAGAAAGTACTGGTCCTCCAAAGAGTGCTATAACCAATGGATTTATATAGCTCTGTTCCCCTATGGAGTCTCTTACTCCACGAGCTCAAAGAGTATTCTTGATTTCTAAAGGTTTTCAATGTTGCTGGAAAGCTAAAGGAACTAGAGAAGTCAGAGAGAGTATCAGCACCAAAGTGTATTCCTCCCCCTGTGGTAGGAACAACAATTAGGGCATTTCTTATCCAGATTCTCTCAAAACTCAGTAAATGTACCTCAACTCAAAACTGATGGTGGAAAGAATAATGTGATTGTCTTATATTTTTGAAGTCAGGTTCTTGGAAACTACCTCCGGGAATTTTTCCTGAATGGCCTAAATCCCTTAATTAAGCAGGTATCTAACATGACTATGATGTATGGTGTGGGTCCTGTAATAGTCACCGCCCCTCCTGACTGTTCTGCATTGACAACAGTTTGTGTTGGATGTGCTGTGGACCAATCCTCTCTGCCTGTAGCCCTCACAGTCTGAACATTTCCTGTGTTACACATCTTTTTTTAAAATTATTTTTATTTTATGTGTATGAGTGTATTGCCTGCATGTATGTGAGTGCACCCATGTCGTGCAATGCCACGGAGGTCAGAAGAGGGCTTCGGATTCCCCTGGAACTGGAGTTAAGGATAGTTTGCAGTCCTCATGTGGGTCCTGGGAATTGAGCCCAGGTCCTCTCTGCAAGAACAGTCAGTGCTCTCAATTGTTGAGCCATCTCTCCAGCCCCATGTTATGCATCTTATAGATGCAAAAACGGTATGAGATGGTATCCGTCAACCATTGAAAAGCTGACCAAGAAGCAAGCGTCATCTTCATGCACTATGTTTATATTGCTTTAGACATTTCAGGATTCATTTGTTGGCTACAAAATTGCTCATATTTCAATCTCTGTTACCCCAGCACTTACTGATGGAAAGATGAAGATTGTGTGTAGTGAATATGGGATTAGAGTGTTGGCATTTCTGACAGAACTGGTAATTTTTCAAATAGAGTGAGGCATCAGGCTGACTTTGCTTTATGGATTGGTTTTCACTTTCTTGTGGATTAGATACCAGTCTTGCTAATTGTTCTAAACTGGAAGAGACTACAGGACAATGCGAACAGCCTATGAGGAGCCTTTAGAGTGGCTCAGGTGGGGCTACAAACTATGTAAAAGAGGAAGAAAATGGTGGGGGTAGAGGGACCAGGTGTGTTACGTCAGACCATGCTGCTCTGTAGGAATACCTTGTTCTTTCAGCATCATCCTTCAAGGATCAATCTAAATAGACTGGGAATCTGATGCGAGTTTTACCTTAAAGTGCATCTCCATTAAAAAAATTTAACATTTTAAACTCCTCTAGCTAATCCATCTCCCCTTTAGGAAATAATAGCCACACTTATTTTTATCTATGTGTGATAGTTTTCTAGCACTTCTCCGTAACAAACAATATCAATGTATAAATGTAACAGTGATCTATGTCTGCTTACAGGTATTTATAACCCTCCCATCATTGAATTAATATCCATGGCACAAAAAAGAAAGGCAGCATGCAGGTTGGGGACAGGTGAGTTCTAGGTTGTATTTCGGGGATGGACAGCCTGGATGCCTGATTTCAGCTTTGTGGATTTGTCTGTCATTTTCTTATCCCCTTCAAATCCCAGCCTGAGCTCAGGATTTGTTTGTGGAACACATTCTTTCTAAGTGATATGAAATGTGTGTTGGTTTCCCAGGAACCCATCACTCCATTAGCTCCTGTTTTATTTATCTTCAGTTGTTGGTGGCAGTAACAAAAAATGGAGCCAATGTAGCAGGACACTTGGAGGGTGAGCGTTCCATGGCAGTGACACACTCAGCAATGACTCTCTTCAGCTTCATTTAAACTTGAGTCAAAGTGGACAACTAAAACTTCCTTTGTGACTTCAAACAACTGTACTTTAATATTTCTCATGGCCCCATGGTCAGAAATTTGGACAGGGTTTGGATGTTCCTTGTGCTGTCAGCTGGGGTGTCTGTGGCAGCGGAGTGGGTCTGTGGGCAGCATTCAGCCAGTTCACTCAGCTGCATTCAGCTGAAAGTTCAAAGCTGAGTATGATGGTACATTCCTGTAGTTATAGCTACCTGGGAGGCTGAGGCAGGAGAATTGCTCAGTCCAGGAGTTACTGCCAGCCTGGGCAACATAGTAAGTATCTGTTACAAATAAGCGAGCTAGCAAGCTAGCAAACACACAGTTGATAGCTAGAATGGGCTGGGAAGTTGTAAAAGCTCCACTTAAATTAACTGGTAAATCTTGCTTTTATTCCACAAGGGTAGTCTACCTTGTCTCCAGGGCAAGGTAGTGATCTCTTGGTAGTTTTGCTTCTTACCTAGTGTCTGGCTTCTCAGAGGAAAGATTAAAGCTGCCAGGCACACATGACTTATTCCACATTCTGGTAGTCAAAGCATGTCTCTATGCCGGCCAGTTTCAAGCTCAGATATTCTAATTGTGCAATGATGGGCAATGGCCCAAAGGGAAGGAATTGAAGGTAGCTGCTTAGAGATTACCTGTTAAAGTTATTTCCATGTGTTACCTAATTTGGAAGAGATCCTTTTAGAAAAACTGCCAATTTTAACTTGCTGCAGTCAGGTGGACTGCTGCTGTGAGAACTGTAGAACACTTCTAGGTGGGTGGATGACATAGGGGACTACAGGCATCCAATGATGATCAAAACTCCTTCCCCCAAACAGTTCATAATTATTCATTCTTATTCAATAATAGCTTGGCTCTGTGATGGATATTGATTTATGTATTATAACAGAGTCTTTGGAATACTTTGATGAATGAACTATTAATTGTGAACAAATTTAGAGAAAGAAAACTAATTTAGTTTAGACCTGGAACTAATTCTGGGTTTTGCAGCATTGTATTTCATTGACTTCTTCTCGCTTTTCTTCATGCTTCCTGGGGGAATGGTAGAGGTTCATTTTCTCATAGCCAGAGATGGTCTTAAAAATAAGTGTCTTTTGGCAAAAAAAAAAAGAAGCTGGAATCCTAATATGAAAAATCTCCTCAAATACAAAGACCACGTTAAGGCTTTGTGAGTAGAAACATCTGCTGTTCCTATTTTATTCCAATTATCAGACAGCAAAATATGTTTCATGACTGATATATAGTAAGTTCTCTGAAGAAAGAGACATAGAATAGAATCAGCATATTGATAGTCTGGGCACCTTTGGCATGTTGTTTAGCTTCAAGCCTTTCTTTTAATCTTTGAAATAAGGAGAATAGAGAATAGTACTTTGCTTCTTACCTCAGACAGTATGGGTAAAACTTAAAATGAATGAATGAATGAAGATATTTAGGATTGCACATAAGGTGTGATAACCAGGTAATCAAAGTATTGATATATAAAAAAGAAAGAAATCAATTATTTAGGTAGATGATAGATGATAGAAAGTAGGTAAGCAATGGGATGAAGAGGGCTCAAACTCATTCCTGTTTTTAAATTGTATTGCTGAGAATATTGGTAATTGAATGGACCAAATCTATCTACTATAGTAAGACTTTTGAATACTTTAAAATTGATATGTAATATCCCACAGCAATGGTTGTAGAGGATTTTATTTGGTTCTTAAATGGACTAGAATCATTTGTCAATTAAACTTCTCATAAACTGCTAGCTACATGTTTCTTATTGAGTGTTTCATTTTTTTAAAGAACTTCATGACAAGCTTCTTTCCTATAGCCAGGTGGGCAACTGCTCCTATCAAAGTCATTTGTTAATTTGTGCCCTTTTCTTAGTTTAAACAAAACTTCCCATCCAAGATCTATTCAGATCTTGACATCTGCCAATTAAAATATTGACTTTAAATAAAGGGATCATAAAAATGTGAGATTAAAATGATTTGGGGCTGAGTTCTTATCACATGACCCAAAGTCAAGGAAGACTGCACAATGCTGTGCTTAAGAAGCAGAATTCAGTCGCACAGACTTGTTCCTAGATATTCCAAACTATGTTTAAATTATAGTGGCTCGTGTTGAGAGATTGATATTTTTAAAATACTTGGGAATGAAAATTCACTTTGTGATGAATAGTTGCTGAAAGCCTTTAAGATAGCACTGTGAGGCTCTAGTACAAAAACAAAGCCTCCAAAGCCAAGCCACATTTCTTGGGATCAGAATCAGAAAATTTTGTGTAAGTGGCGCGGTTCACCAGACATGTCTTCCCTAATGGAAGCCTGTTTTCCACTTTAACATTGACATGATTTGTGCAAAGCCAGGAAACCAAATTCTACCTTAATGCCAATTAATGTTTGTTACTTGGGCCAAAGTTTAGTGATTTTTATTGTGAAACTAAAAATGAAGTTTTGTTGCTAAAATCTCATATCCTGTGAGCACACTTATTTTAAGTGTATTTTCCTATCTTTGC